GCCTGATCAGAACAGTCGGTAGTTGTAAGCAGGCACCATCTAGTTCTGGTTGGGTCCTCCCTGTTGATGGTTTGGATGAAACTGGAGTTGACCGTCTTAAACAGCCTGGTGGGGGGCCGTGCCCCCTCTGCAGCCTCTCGGGCAGGTGATCGGGTGCCTGCTGTCAGCCATAGTGCCCTTTCTCCTCCAGGACAGGAGCCCAGACGCGTGCTCACAGCTCCACAGGGCCGCCTACGGCATTGCTCACATTCTGATCCAGGCTCTTTATGACCAGGGAAATCTCTCCTTGTTGCTTTCAGACAAATTGGGGAAAACCTCATCGTCCCTGGGGGCATCAAAACAATCGATGCCCACGGCCTGATGGTCCTGCCGGGTGGAATTGACGTCCACACACGGCTGCAGATGCCTGCACTGGGCATGACCCCTGCTGACGACTTCTTCCAGGGCACCAAGGCAGCCCTAGCGGGAGGCACCACCATGATACGTGAGTTTCTGGACCCCCGCCTCTCTGCGGGGGGCAGCCCCCTTCTTGTACCTTGGTCCCCCGCCAGGGTGGTGTCTTGCAGGAAGAATTTTACATAGTGGTATTTTTATCGGCCATATTTTCCTTCATCTCCGTCTAAGGAAACCTTGACCCCCTTTTCTTATTCCTGTTGCTCATTCTGGGGCATTCTTGCATTGGCCAGTTCCGAGGATGTTCCTGGGGTTTCTGTGGAAGCAAATGCGTGTTGGTATGTCCTGATAAACCCGTAGCTGGCCAAGGGCTGGGGTTTGGAAAGCCCCGATGCTTTGGACAGGAGAGGGGTTGTGCTGTCTGAAATGTCAAATACAGCTCTGACTCAGCCTCACACCTCTGAGGCTTGATCTGCAGAAGGCCGCTGCCTGTGTCAAGAAAAGTTAAAGCTGGAGGCTGTGTTTTTAGAACAAGGATGACGATTATCATTATTATCACATCAACGCCAAGAGGTACCACTTCCTCAGTGCTGACCGCCAGGCTCGAGCTGCATCGCAGACCCACAAAGCCCGTGGAGGACAGCAGAGATGCCCTTTGCACAGAAAACGCTGAAGCTTGGTGACGTGAATTCACTTGCCCACCATGAACTTACATGTGGTAAGCTCAGGAGCCAGGGTGAGAAACTGGCATCCAGCCCTGTCCCTGTGCATGCTGCTGTGAGTGTCACCATCTTGGCTACATCCAGCGCAGACATCTCTGCTGTGACGAAGACCTTGTCTGATGAGTCTGATCTGAGCCTGGCTCCACCGTTTTCTAGCTGTGTGACTTCAGGTAACTCAGCCAACGTCTATAGGTCACATTTTTCCAGCCTGTAGCATAGGAAGAATATAATGCTCCCCGAAGGTGGTTGTGAGGATTAAACAAGTTAATGCACATGAGTAGCTCTGAGTGATGCCCAGCACACAGTAGGTGCTCAATAGATGCTACTGCCACCACCACCAGTGGAAACAACTCTTAAGACTCTGGGCTACACCACAAGTAAGCCATGGCCAAAATGGTGGCATGGTGTGGTTTACTCGACTACATAGTGAAGAAAACCAGGCACATCCATCACTGGGTTTGACGAGAGGCTGCTCATGCTGGTAGCTGTGGTGGCCCAGGTAGGGCCAGGACCTCAGCATCGTTGATGTCACCAAGGCATCAGACAGGCTGTGAGGTGTCGCCGTGAAGATGGAGAAACACCAGCAGGCATGAGGCTGGCCTCTGTCCAGCGTCCATCTTCCTCCACCTGCTCAGCCCCAGGCTGGCGCTGCATCCCCATGGCAGTGAGCTGCCCGTGGGAGGGTGGGTGGAGGTGCCCACACGTCCTCGGGGCCCTGGGTTCATGATTGGGGGATGAAAGTTCATCTTTCGATGGTTTCCCTAGAGAGGAGCCTCCCTATTCGGAGTTCTCGCGCCAGTGGATGCAGGAGAGGCCACTTGTCCGTGTGTTGGACTGGGGGGCGGGGAGGTGGTGACAGCATCATGCCCACGTGCACTCCCAGTTCTCCCAGGGGAAGCTTGTCACTGCAGAGGATGGGTGTGCTGTTGAGACGTGTGGGGTCAGCTGGGTCAACTAGGAGAGCCAGCCCATGCCAGCTGCTGGAGGGTGGGGGAGCGAGGTAGGCTGTGCCCCAGCACCACGGACAGGGCCCTGGCATCTTACTCAGGGTCACCTGTGTTGGAGGTTGGACAAAGGCCCTTAGCTCCCCCACCTGCTCCTTGGGTGGGACGTGTCCATTGGGGGGCGCGAGGTGGTTTGAACTTGACTTTCTCTGTCTCCCCTAGTCGGCTAGAGAGAGGCTGGGCAGGTGTCACTTTGAACAAAATGGATGCAGCAGGGTTTGAAGATCAGTCCACCTTAAGAAGCCAGTGGCCTCTCCTCTGTCGTCCCCAAACGTGTTTTCTAACCTCTCGGGAAATGAAACCAATCTCCTTTGGAGGTGGTGGTGGTGCCCAGTGACCGGCGGAGTGGGTGCTGGCTGACTCATTGTCCCCTGCAGTGGACCACGTGTTCCCGGACACGGGCGTGAGCCTGCTGGCGGCCTACGAGCAGTGGCGGGAGCGAGCCGACAGCACAGCCTGCTGTGACTACTCCCTGCACGTGGACATCACCCGCTGGCACGAGAGTATCAAGGAGGAACTGGAGGCCCTGGTCAAGGACAAGGGTGAGCGCTGCGGCGCTCATGGCCCCAGGCTGGGGGGCAGCTGGAGAGCGCGGTGCAGGAGCTGTGTTTCCCTGAACTTGGGCCGCCCCCCACCCTGGGGTGGGAAGAGGCCGACCAATGACCTCGGGTCCTTGCTGGGCTCTGCCCAGCCTGACCACAGGGCGGTGTCCACGAACTGGGCAGAAGCTGGACAAGAGTGAGGGGAGGCCCCCTGTACTTGCAGGGAGGCTGGACGAGAAGGCTGCCTTCTCCCTTGGGCGGGCACGTCCTGCAGCTCCTTATAGAGGACGCAAAGGTCACCTGTCATGGGGTCTCCTTGTTGCGTGGAGAAGAAACTGCCCCAGGGTGGAGGGAACACGTGACCCATTTCCAAGCATTCTAAGATCTCTTCTGCAGGAGGGTGTTGTGAAACCCCCACTTCTCTGTTGTTACCTGTGCAGAAACAGGCCAGCCTATGAACAAAGCTTAATTTTCTCCCACAAACAAGCACCGTCGCTAAAACCAAGACAGTTCTGGAGAGCGGCCATGGGCATGGGGGACGAGGCCCCCTCACCCGTTGGGGAACCACTTGGAGCAGGCGCAGCAGCCTGCGGGAGGGGCTGGGAGGCAGCAGCACAGTCTGCTCCGGTTCCGGCTTGCTGGGGGGCAAGGGGGTGCAGGGGGGGCTGTGCCAGCTCATGAAGCAGCCATGGGAACCGGCTGCACCCGCCTTCCTGGAGAGTGGGAAGCAGAGGAGGCCCCAGGGCATCTAGCCAAGCCCTCTGATGCTCCCCCTCCCCAGGTGTGAACTCCTTCCTGGTCTTCATGGCATACAAGGACAGGTGTCAGTGCACCGACGGCCAGGTGAGGCGGGGGCGGCCAGGTGAGGCAGGGCGGCCAGGTGAGGCGGGGGTGGGGGTAGGTTGGGGGAGGTGTCCCACAGGTGCCCAACAGACACTGACACAGAACCCATCTGCCTCCTTCCCCAGATGTACGAGATTTTCAGCATCATCCGAGACCTGGGGGCCCTGGCCTTAGTGCATGCGGAGAACGGGGACATTATTGAGGAGGTGCTGGGGTCACCTGCCCAGAGCGGGATGGGGTGGGAGGATGTCCTTGAGCCCCAGCCTCATCTATAAGTCAGGGTTCTCTCAACTCTGTGCAGTTGAGTGACTCTGGGGGGCCTGCAGGGAACAGCGCTCAGCTCAGACGTGGTGCCTTGAGCCGTGGGGAGGGGGTCCGTGGGGCTGGGGGCCATGAGGTGGAGGTCCGTGGGGTGGCGGTCTGTGCAGTGGGGGGCCGAGGGGCGGGGGCCCAGGGGTAGGAGGCCGTGGGGTGGAGATCCATGGGATGGGCCTGTGGCGTGGGGGCGGGGGCCCGTGGGGTGGGGTTGGGGGCCAGGCCCTCCTCCACGGCTGGAGCCTGGCCTGGTGGTTGGTCTAGGAGCAGAGGCAGGTGCTGGAGCTCGGCATCACCGGGCCAGAGGGCCATGTACTCAGCCACCCTGAGGAGGTAAGAGTCTGCCCAGCGCAGACCCCTCTCCCCTCTCCTGGCCCCAGGCGGGGTTGTGCTCCCCCTCCCCATCTGGAGGGCACTTGCCCTCCACAGTCCCCCTCAGGCCTTGCCCTGAGGCCATGACCTGGGCTGGGCAGCCTTGGGGGCATCTGGTGGGCCCAGCTCCCACTGGGGCTCGCATCGCCCAGAGTGCCCCCCACCCGCCTCCACCTGAGCCACCAGGAAGCCAGGGCCTCTCAGAGCCTGAGCACTGGTTCCCCAGGTGGAGGCCGAGGCTGCGTACCGCGCAGTCACCATCGCCAAGCAGGCCAACTGCCCGCTGTACATCACCAAGGTGATGAGCAAGGGTGCGGCCGACGTGGTCGCCCAGGCCAAGCGCCGAGGTGAGTGCTGGGCGCCTGGAGGTGGGGGCTCGGGGGGGCACCCAGCCCTGGAGCTGGGGAGGCGTGGAGGAGACCTGCGCCCTGCTGGCACCTTAGTGGGGGGCGGGCGGTGGCAGTGTGGGTGCCCTGGGTCCCCAAGCCTTGTGGGAGTAGCAGAGAGGGGCCTATTCATGGCGTCCCCAGAATGGGCGACATGACGGGCGTGTGAAACAGAGGCCCCGAGTCCGTGTGCATCGGGATCTCCCTGACGGGCCTCCCGGAGCCTGGGGTCGCGAGGACCCTCCTTACCCCCCATCACTGATGTCTCCTGGGTGGCCAGGACAACAGGCTGTCTGCCCTCTGCAGGCCGTGCCAGCTTGGAGGACACGGGCGGCCTGGGGGGCAGAGGCGGAATGTCCATCTAAAGTCTGGGTATAGCAGGGCTGAGGTCGGCAGGGGCTGGGGTCGCTCCCCCAGACAGAGGCTGCTGTGCCCAGGGATGGGGTGGGGCCGCTATTCTCAGGGCCTGGAGGGGATGGGCCGAGACAGAGGGGGTGGGGCTGAGATGGGGGGGCTAGATGGAGTAGGAGAGGCGGAGGGGAGGGGCTGAGAAGGGGGCGGGGCCAAGACGGAGTGGGTGGGGCTGAGACCCAGGGGCGGGCAGGCGTGGCAGGGAAGACCCCCGGGCCAGGCTTCCGCCTCACTTCCACCTCCTGCTGCCCGGTCGAAAGAGTCTTGTGTGAAGGCGCCTCATTTCTGGACCTGTCCCCCCAGCTGTGCTGGGTCCCCAGGGTGGGGGTGGGCATTGCCCCTTGGTTGCCCCCTTAGCCAGAAACAGTGCTTCTGAGCTGGAGCTGGGGCTGCGACGGGCTCCGCCTGCAGGGACCCTGGGCTCACGGCTCCAGCACTCTATCCCTCCGCCTTCGGGAACTCCCTGGTTCTCAGGGGCGGGAAAGCGGGCATGTCTTGCTGGGGCCGCCCCCACAGTGGCCCAGCTGGACCACCAGGTAGCCTGACCCCCGCTATCAGCTGTTGCCGACCCTGGTTGGAGCTCCAGGGCTGTGTCTCCCGGTCTCCTGCTGGGTTCCCTGGGATGGGGTGGGGAGGGTGTGCAGGCTGCAGGGTCCCCCAGCTCTTGTGGCCTCCTTGCAGGGGTCGTTGTGTTTGGAGAACCTGTTACCGCCAGCCTGGGCACCGACGGATCCCACTACTGGAGCAAGAACTGGGCAAAAGCCGCGGCCTTCGTCACCTCACCCCCCATCAGCCCGGACCCCAGCACTGCGGACCACCTCACAGACCTGCTGTCCAGGTGAGGCCACCTCATGGTGGCTGGGACCTGCCCCCTCGTGGACCCACTGTGGGCCTGGCCTCTAGTGCACAAACCTGCCCAGCATCGCTGAGGGCTCCCTGGGGGCCAGAGCCCCAGCCCTGGAGTCCCCAACTGGGGCTTCCATGTGGGAACGTGCTCCCCTCCCGGATGCCTCACTGCTCTCCACACCCTCCCCTCCCCGACACGGAGGCGCCAGCCCAGCCCTGACGTCTCAGACGATCTCTGGGCCCTGGGGGCTACACTGGCCAGCTTGGGGGGGATATGAAGCCACCCAGCGGGGTGGCTCCACAAGCCCCCGTCGGGCTGCCACTGACCCTGGTCTGTTCTCAGCGGGGACCTCCAGGTGACAGGCAGTGCGCACTGCACCTTCAGCACGGCCCAGAAGGCCGTCGGCAAGGACAACTTCACACTGATCCCCGAGGGTACCAACGGCGTGGAGGAGCGCATGGCCGTGGTCTGGGAGCGATGCGTGGTGGGTACGGGGCGGGGCCCCAGAGGCTCCAGGGGTGGGTCCTGCCCTATCTCTGCAGCATCTGGTGGCCTGGCGGTGGCAGCATCGCCCCAGCTTCCCGGGACCGTCCCTTCTCTGTGGTTTCCCCTCTTTTGTGAGGACTCCCCTCGTGTAGGGTTAGGGCCACCCTACTGCAGCGTGACCTCGTGTTAACCTGATGGATTACCGCCTCAGAGGCCCTGTTTCCAAACAAGGTCCTGCCCCAGTGCTGGGCTGAGGACCTCAGCATGTCTTTTTGGGGACACGGTTCAGTCCCTCACAGTGTCCACAGGCAGAAAGAAGCCAGATCAGGGGCTGGTCTGAGACTGACCATCTCACAGGGCAGCGGAGCCCTCCGTGGGCCCTGCCAAGGGCCGGGGGAGGCCTGGTGCTCGCTGCTGGCCATGTGAAACCCTGACAAGGACCCAGCTGCCAGAAGGCCAGCTCTGGGCCGCTCAGGCCTCTGTCCTCAGGGTGGCCTTCTCACTCCGCAGGCCTCGGGGAAGATGGATGAGAACGAGTTTGTCGCAGTGACCAGTACAAACGCAGCCAAAATCTTCAATCTTTACCCAAGGAAGGGCCGAGTGGCTGTGGCTTCTGATGCTGACCTGGTAATATGGAACCCCAAGACCACCAGGATCATCTCTGCCAAGAGCCACAACCTGGTAAAAATGCCTGTTCCCGAGTCAGGGGAGGCAGTGCGTGGGTGGGGGTCCTGCGGAGCTCTGCCAGGCGAGTCGGGGGCGGGGGCTGCTGGCACCTTGCAGGCAGCAGTGTGACTGGGACGAGCCGTCCCTGTTTACGGAGAAGGGAGGCGGCGAGCACCGACACGCTTGCTCCGAGTCACGCGGAAGCTCTGCCTGCTCCTGGGACCCGCACCCAGTGCCACTGGCTCACCCTTGGTCCTGGAGAGAAGCAGGGGCCCGGGTCCCCCTGACCTCTGACCGTCAGCGACGGCGGGTTGGTCAGGGGTCAGAGGGCAGAGCCGGCTCCCACAGCTGGCAGATGCTGGCCGACCCACCGAGCGGCCCCGGGAGTGTTCCGGAGGCTGAGCGGGGATGGGGGGTCCATGGGCGGACCCCATGGTGCCGGGCCCTTGTTCTCTCCCCAGAACGTGGAGTACAACATTTTTGAGGGCGTCGAGTGCCGAGGGGCCCCCACGGTGGTCATCAGTCAGGGCCGGGTTGTGCTGGAGGACGGGAACCTGTTCGTCACCCCGGGGGCTGGCCGCTTCATTCCCCGGAAGACGTTCCCCGACTTCGTCTACAAGAGGATAAAGGCGCGGAACAGGGTGAGAGCCTGTGCGCGCGGGGCCCTCACACACGCTGGCGGGGGCGGGGCGTGTCCGCTTCCAGAAGGAAGCCCCTCCTGCAGGTGGCCCTGCCCTACTGTGCTTCTCTCACTCAGAGCCCTGGGCACCAGGGGCGCCAGAGGGAGGAGGGGTGTGTGTGTGCGCGCGCGCATGTGTAGGTGGGAATGCAAGGAAGGAGGTGTGCACATCTGTGTGTAAGTGGAGTGCAGAGAGGGAGGTGTGTGCACACGGGTGCAAGGGAAGTGTGCGTGCGCACACGTAAGTGGAGTGCAGGGAGGTGTGCACACCCGTGTGGGAGGTGTGCGTGTGTACACGTGTAGGTGGAGATGCATGGCAGGAGGTGTCTGTGTGCGCGTGGGCGGGTGCCCTCATTGGTGGAAGAGCCTCCAGGATTCCCAGGCGGAGCAGAACAGGGGCCCAGCGCCCTCACGCCGCCCCATGCCCGCAGCTCGCCGAGATCCATGGCGTGCCCCGGGGTCTGTATGATGGGCCGGCCCACGAGGTGATCGCACCTGCCAAGGCCACCAGTGGCACCCCCGCCCGAGCCTCCTGCCCAGGCAAGATCTCCGTGCCGCCCGTGCGCAACCTGCACCTGTCGGGGTTCAGCCTCTCCGGTGAGTCCAGTTTGGACTGGGAGGGCCCAAGGGGCCCTGGGGCACCCTGATGGGTGAGAAGCACTGGGGGCCCCTGGGCCTGACTGTGCCCCGGGAGTTGGTGAGATCGGCTGAGGGCTGGGTGACCAGCCCACACCTGCGCCCCACAGACAGAAGGCAGCTAGCAGGCGGGGCGCCTATGTGAAGTGGGGACTGTGGAGGGGGCTTGTGAGGGCCCAGGGACGGGAGCCCCAGCTGGGAAGCCCCTTTCTGCTCCAGGGTCTGCCCCAGGGCAGTTGTGATGACCCCACCCCCGTCAACCAGTGCCGGGGGGAGCAGGGCTGTTCACTCTGAGCCCAGGGGTGGGTATGCGATGCCTCCATAGAAGGTGAGATGGACTCATGAGGCGTCCAGCCCCCATCCCAGCCCCGCCCTGGTCTGCCCAGCCACCCCTGAGTCCTTGCGGAGATGAGCTGGATGCTTCAGAGGGTCCAGGGGGCCCCAGTGCGGCGCAGCTGCGTCACATGAGAAGGCTGGCTGAGATGGCAGGGACACTCAAATGGGCACCAGACGTGGGAGTGTGGCCCGTCTCCCCTCCGCTTCCAGCGCGGCATGGAGGGAGGTTCTCCCTGCAGACCGGAGCCAGCCCCTGTCCAGCCCTGGGGGACAGCCGCACCGCTAAGTTCCAGTCTCCTCCCGTGGGAACTACTCTCCTCTCCAGAGGTGATGACAGTCCCAGCTCACTTCCTGGGGACTCAGGACCAGGGGCAGGTCCCCTTGGAATTCCAGCATCGTCTTAAGAGCTGGGGGCACGTGGGTCCACGTGTGCAGGCTGAGCCAAGACCTGTTGCAGGGAAGTCTGGCCTAGCTTGTGCTCATCCTGAGATGGGATGGACTTCCCGGAGGGATAACTTTGAACTCCCAGTCTCCCACAGAACACAAACACTGTGGCACTTTCCCATCCCTCAGAGGCGCCTCAGTGCTGGGAGCTTCTGCCCTGGTCTACCCACCACAGGCCTGGGAGCGTAACTGTCTTGTGATACACATTGTATGGACCTCTGCAGTTCTGGTCTTCCAGATGGATAGAGGAGAGCCCCCCCCCCTCCATCCACGTCCCTACCCTCGCCCACTCTGCCTTTCTCCTCCAGGGTCTCAGGCCGACGACCACATTGCCAGGCGCACGGCTCAGAAGATCATGGCGCCCCCTGGCGGCCGTTCCAACATCACCTCCCTGTCCTAGACGCCAGGCCTCAGATCCCAGCTCCCCTCCTCAGCCTTTCCCTCTCCTGAACGGTGCTCGGTGCTCGGCCTTGCCGTCCCCTCCCCCATCGCTCCCCTTCTGGGGTCCCAGGTCCTGCCACCCATGGGGAGCCCCGGTGAGGGGAGGGCTGAATTTGGGAGATTTCACTGCCAGGGCGAGGAGGCTGAACACAGCAGGGACAGCGTGGGTGGCCCAGTGCTAGGTGCCCTTACACCGCTGAGCACGAAGGCAGGGCCACAGTCTAAGGGCAGGGCCACCGCAGGTGCTTCACGAGCACAGGGGACAGCTGGTGAGGCTGAGAAGGGCTCCCCGCTCCGTGCCCGGGGGCTTCATGAGACTGTGTCCAGGCAACACTGCCCCCTCCCTGTTTAAGTCACTGCCATGCATGCCCCAGGCTCCGCCTGTCCCAGAGCCTTCTCGGCCTCCACTGAGCCGGCCCAGGTCCCCCCTTGGGCCCGGGGGACGGGGCAGCTGGCCCCCAGTGCCCAGAGCTGCCACGACTTCAGGGATCCATTGGGATGGCAGGGACTTGTCTGTGCTTGTTCCCAAGGACCAAACCTCAGCCTTTTCTGTAGCCCGACCCCGGGGGGGTTTCAGATCCTTTAGCTATGCTGGTTCCCAAGGACCAAACCTCAGCCTTTTCTGTAGCCCGACCCCCGGGGGGGTTTCAGATCCTTTAGCTATGCTGGTTCCCAAGGACCAAACCTCAGCCTTTTCTGTAGCCCGACCCCCGGGGGGGTTTCAGATCCTTTAGCTATGCTGCTTTTGTTTTTACGGCGTGGATTTCCTAGACGTAGCGTTTCTGTGAGGACAGCTGTAGCCAGTGCATGCCGCCACAGCCCCTGTGCGCAGGCCAGTATGAGCCGGCTCCATTAAAGACGGGTGGAAGCGGCCAGCGTGTGGACAGCCACTTCTGTGCTTGTGCGGGGACCCTTGGAGACACTGCTGCCCCTGCCCCACTCCACGCTGGAGACCCCCTGCAGTGACAACTCCCACCCTCAAGGTGGCGCCAGGTGCAGGGCTGGGTCCAGATGGTGAGAGGGGGAAGGGAATGCGGAGCAGCAACAACCCAGTCGGGATGCTGGCTGTGACCCCCCCCCCGGCCACAGCCAGATGCTCAGCGGGACAGGGTGGGGGGCCAGGAGAACCACCACCCCACATTCTGACCAGATGGGCCAGAGCACCCCAGGAGAAGGTCGGAGGCTGCACAAGCGTCCACATGGAACACACTGTGAGGCACACACCCACTGCGGGCAGCAGAGGACAGGTGGGGATCTGAGGCTGACTCCCCACTCACGCACCGCCATGCCCAGCCTGGGCCCTGCCCGCTTGGTGACAAAGGACCCCCGAGGTGCTGATCTGGACCCTCAGGCTCTTTCCGTGCTCAGCTCCAGAACCCCTAGAAGACAACCACTGGGCTGCCCCCTTGGCCCCCAGGGTCCTCAGCTTTGGACATGTAGGAGGTCAGAACAGCAGGGCTGTGAGCACGGCCTGGCGCCGCCTTGGTGGTTGGCAGAGGGAGAAACCAGCCCCCGGCACACATGGCTGGCGTGCTGGAGCCGGGTGTGGACTGTGGACAGACAGCCCCCTGCTCTGTCCCCACCACCCAGGACACCAGCCCCTCGGTCTGCGCTCACTTTTGTGCCCACTGACCAGGAGAGAAGCAGGGGTCCTGCCGTGCTGAGGAGAAGTGGGGCATCCCGAAAATACTCCATGTCGGTGTCAGGGAGACAGGGCCCCACCCGTCTCACCGTCCAGTCAGACCCCCCACCCTGCATCAGCCCCTCACAGTGTGCGTGGATGAGGAGACGGCCATGTTGGGGGGCAGCGAGTGTCAGAGGCAGGAGCTTGGTGGGGGTGTCCCACGCGCCTGCGCAGGAACCCTAGTCTCAGCCCAGGAAGTGCTGGGCACGGAACCGGGTCCTACTGAGGAAGTGAAAGCTGCTCCCGCCCCAGGGCGGATGGCCGCTGGGTGGCGCCGGGCGGCAGTCAGGTGCAGGGAGTGCCCAGGTGTCATTCGTTCACCCACTCAGTCATTCACCCATTTATCATTCAGTCAGTCATGGACGTGCAGGGCGCCCCTCCTGCATCCAGGCTCTGGGCCCGGTGCTGGGAAGGAGGACGACCAGTCAGACCCAGACGTTCCTTCCCAGAGGTGGCACACAGGTGTGCAGGAGATGGTCAGTCACAGCGCTGTGCTCCGGGGGGCAGGTGTGGGAGCTCAGGCCAGTGGAGTGGGTGAGGTGGGTGTCATGGAGGAGGTGCCCCCTCACCCAAGCAGGTGTCCAGGGCCTGCCTGCCCCCTGCCCCGCGCCCACCACCCAGTGGTCGGTTCTGGAGGGTGACTGGTGCACGCATCTCCTGCAGTGCTCTCTGTGGCTCCGGCATTAGGGTCCACCCAAGGTTTGCTCTGCCTCGGTCCCCAGGGCTTGTCTGGCCCAGACACACTCGTCCACCAGCAGGCGTGGTCACTGTGGCCTCGGAGCCAGTTCCTGAGGCTCCGCCGAGGCTGAGGCCTTCTGCGCCAGGCCCCTCGCCCGCACGCCATCCCCTGCAAACAGAAGAGCCCTCCCTGCCCCTCCCAGGCCTCAAAACCTCAGGCCTAGATCACGCACTTACACAAAGCCCACCCTCGTGGCACAGACACACACGTGCAAGACATCCAACACAGGACGTTTCTCATATCGTAATTCCCGGAGGTGGAAGCCATACAGAAACGGCTGGAACAGGTGGTATCTATAAAACATCCTTTCTTTCCTGCCCACCCACGGCCCTCCCAACCCCCTCCCCTGATGTACAAGAAGGAAGCCACACCTGGGCCACGTCCACAGCACAGGGTAGCAGGCAGCTCGGGCTCTGAGTGACGGGGATTGTGTAGCCCTGGGCCTTCCATGACCTGCCGCAAGCCAGCCTGAGAGCCCACGGGAGAGGCCAGGGCAGATGGCCCAGGTGGCGTCGGCCCTCCTTGTCTGCCCACGTCCCGTCTCAGGCGCCTGCAGCACCCGCCTCTCCACATCACCGTCCTGAGAAGACCCGAGGTTCGAGGGCCCCCTGGCTGTGCCCCCTGAGAGCGAGGGTGATGCGCAGTCCAACACGCCCCCTGCTCTGCCTGGCCGGGGTGGCTGCCCCGTGGGAATGCCCATGCGCCCCAGCCCACCGCCACCCCGACTCTGGCGGACATAGAGCCTCTGCCAGTTGAGTGTCCACGCCTCGCCGGACACCTAGCTGCTTCCTGCCGAGGGACAGAGGGGGCCGCACATGGGCAGGGAGGACCCTGACGCCTCGCTGTCCGCCAGTGGCTCTGCCTCGTTCTGGGGCTCGGGAACAGGAAGCGGCTCGGCCGTGGGGTCCTGGCTCCTCTTCAGCCTGGGGGGGGACATGGAGGGGCTTGACTCTGGGCCAGCACAGCCGTGGGGCTCACCACACATCGCCGTGCATCTCACCAGGCCCCACAACCTGTCCAAAGACTCACGGAAGGTCGCCCACAGGTGCCCGGGAGATGGGTAAGTGCTGAGCCTCCCTGCCTCGGCCTCACTCCAGGGCGAGCGGGCAAGGACCTGAGGGGTGGGACAGGGGCAGGGCAGCCCACCTGCACCACCCTCCGGCTGATGTCAAGCCCCGGGGCTGCGGGCAGTGGGGCTGGCCATCCGTGCACTCCCACCCAGAGCCAAGAGGGAGCCTGGCCCAGCGCCGTGGGTCCGTCCGAACAAAGCCCTTCAGAGAGCTGAGCCCAGTCTCCCTCACCTGGCCAGTCGGCCCTCAGGGTGCTGGCCAGCACCCAAACCCGCCGCCACACATGGCCCTGCCCCCAGCGCAGGACAGAGCACTCAGGCCAGGGCTCAAGGCCCCCTCCCCCAGGAAGCCATCCCTGCCCACCCGCAAAGAGAGCCCCACGGTGATGGGCGTCCTCCCTCCACAGCCCAGGTGCGTAGCTACTTGTGGGCTTGTCTTATCTCCCCAGGGGCCAGCTCTGCCCTTTACTGCCCCACAGGACCTGGCATCATTAAACGTTTGCTGAGTGAGTGAGTACTGAGTGAGTGAATGGGTGGTGGGGTTGACGGGATGCTGATGGGCCATTCATGTGGATAGGCGGCCATCAGCCTGATGGGGGCAATTACTGAGTGTCTCCCTGGGGATTCTATCCACCAGCCCCAGTTTAGAGCCAAAAGGTTCCCAGGAGCCCCTCCTGCAAGAGCCTGGACGGCCCCTCAGTGCCACGGCGCAGATGCCCTGCAGGGCAGGCGTCGGGCATCTCGGCCCATCAATGCCACGTGGCTGCTGGGGTCTCCACGGCCGACTTCCCCACGCTCCCCTTGACCTCCACCCCCACACTCACGCACTCACTTTTCTCTGTTAAAAATCACAAAGTCCTGCTGGATTGCATCAAGGCAGTCCTGAAGGTAGTCATTCTCCTGTCGGACAGACAGACGCCGGTGTGAGCCAGAGCTGGACACGGTCTAGGTTCCAGCACCGCCTGTGGCCACTCCCATACTCCTCTGCACACCAGCGGCTGTGTCTTCCCCGGCCACCCTCAGCTCTCTTTGGAGAGCTGCCTTCAGGCGCTGAGGCACTTCGGCCTCAGGCAACCGGGTGCCTGGGGATGGTCTCCCCAGTGACACTTAGCGAGTGAGAAGGATGCCCAAGTAGGAGAGCCCAGGCCCCGCGCCTGGGGTGATGGCTCGATCACCTGAGCCATCCTGCAGGATCCAGCCGGAGCCACATCCTTGCTCGGAGCCCCCCTTCCCTGCCAGTTTCCCCAGCCCCACCGGGTGCTCCTGGTCACACTGACAGGCCCTTCCCACGAATTTCCATGCCAGGATCTGCTCGTGGGGTCCCTGGCCTGAGGACAGGATCCTGGAGCCAGGTCCCCTCTGGCTGATGACAGGGACCCCATCTCTGGTGGCTGTGAGTGTGAAGGCCCCTGGCAGCTGTAGACTACCGACTAAGACTCTCGACAGGGTGGCTGGGGGGTGCAGGAGAGAGGGGT